CGCGAACACTGAGAATGAGGGGCGCGAGGGGACGGACCGCGCGCAAGAGTTGCACTGCTTTTCCAGGGCAGCGCAGGGATGAATACTGTGCGCTTTTTGACGGCCTTCTCCTCATCGTGCTCCTCGTCCTCCTCCTCCTCCTCATCGTCCTCCCTCCTCCCTCCTCCTCCTTCTTCTCCTCCTCCTCCTCCTCCTCCTCCTCCGCCTCCTCCTCATTGTGTTTCTCCCTCTTCCTTCCCTTCCTCGTCCTCGTCGTCGCCTCCCTCTGCTTCCACGTCCTCCTCCTCATCCTCCTCCTCATCATTGTGCGTCTCCCCCTTCATCCTCTCCCTCGTCCTCGTCCTCGCCTCCCTCTTCCTCCTCGTCCCCGCGAAGGGGCCCAGACCTCGGAGGAGCCGCGCCGCAGAGAAATCACGACGCCGAGTGTCTGTGAGGCGAGGCGAGCGGCGGATGGCCGCCGAGGGGCGGGGGGCCCTCCGTGGGCCCGCAGGGAGGGGCCCCGGGCCGCCAACGTGTGCCGTCCGTGCGTCGGCACCCCGTGCTCGAGGAGGGGGGGGGGAGGGAGGCGGCGGCGGTCTCCTCGGGAGCACGTGCCAGCGAGTGCCTTGCGACAAGGCTCACGAGATGCGCAAGCTGGCGGGGCTTTGCCCCTGGGGGGGGGGCTCACACACTGCTTCGCATGGGGGAAGCGGGTCCCGAGGGTAGCGGGTCCTGGACCCTGGGGCCCTGTCCCAGGACCTCAGGACCCGCCTCCCACATGGCGAACCCCTCAGCACGCAGCTCGGACATATTCCTGCCGCGGGGGGGGGGAGGGGGAAAGCTCGAAGATCGAAGTTTTTCTTCTTCAACGATCTTGCCCCTCTGGGACTCTGGAGGCCTTCGGGGGGAAGGGGGCGTCCAGGAAGCGAGCCAAGGGTGCGCATCGTGGAGCGACTGGGCAGCTTGAGAGGCAGGGGGGGTTGAGAGCAGAAGGGCAATGAAGAGCAGAAGGAGGAGGAGGAGGAGGAAGAGGAGGAAGAGGAGAAGAGGAGGAGAAGGAAGAGGGCGAGGACGACGACGACGACTTCGGGCAGTAGCAGCAACGAAGGACGAGTGGGGACAGAGGGGGGAGACAAGGAAAGGAAGGACATATGAAACTGCAGGAGAAGGCAGGAGGGAAGAAAACAAGTTAGAGACGAGAGGTGTTCAAATAGTGAGGCCCCAGGTCCTTGAGGGTGTCCTCGAATTCCTGGAAGATTCTCTTGGCGCGGCTCAAGTCGAAAGCCTGTGGCATAAAGGTGCAGGTCTTGGCGCGCTCCTCTCGCCGGAGCGACGCTCTGATGATGGAGCCCTTGAAGGGAGACTTCAGGTCGCAGCCGAAGACGCCCTTGAACCTCGGCTGACCGCCGAGTGCCGAACCCGCCGCGTGCGGAACGTGCGCACGCGTGGAGCTTCAACGATAACTGCCGCGGCGCGCCCCACGCGCTTACTTCTGAGGAGGAGGAGGAGGAGGAGGAGGAGGAGGAGGAGGAGGAGGGGGAGGAGGGGGAGGAGCAGGAAGAGCGAGGAGCGAGGAGAAGGAGCGAGGAGCGAGGAGGAGGTACCTTCGCGCGCCGCGCCCCGCGGTCCCCGCGAGGCGCGACGCACGGTCATCGCAGCGCCATCGCGGCGCCCCTGGAGAAGGGCAGCGCTGCAGCTCGTGACGAGACGTGGGAGGCCCGATGCTCTTCGCGCCCCTCTGGGGTGACCTGGGGCATCCGACGCCGTGGCTCTTTCGCGGCGCGGGCCCCAGAGCTCTCGACCCCCAACCCCGGAGCTGGCTCCTCGTCACAGGTGGCTCTTGGACGGTCGGGGCTGCCCGGAACGGGCTTCCAGCGGCCCCAGAACTCGGGGCGCCTGCCCGTCAGACTTTGGTCCGTGGCGCCCGGGGAGGCAGGATCCGAGGCGTCCGAACGGTCCGAGGTCTCCGACGCATTCACGCGGAGCGAAGCAAGTCCCACGCGAGGCCGAGGAGAGAAGAGAGGATAATAGAAGAGAAGAAGAGGAGGAGGAGAAGAGAGAAGAGAAGAAGACAGAGACAGGGACACGGTGAGGCTTCGGGTTGCGCGCAGACAGCCCCCCCCCCAGGTAGCCCCAGCTGGCCTCAGCAGGCCACACGAGTCATCCCAGCTGGCCACAACAAGCCCCCCGAACAGTGCGGGGCGGTCTCAACACCTCAACCCTTGGGTGCGGAGCGCCCCAGGGGCGCCGCCCGAGGCGGCGCGAGGGTGACGAGACCCCCCCCCCCCCCGGGACCCCCGTCTCCGCCCCCCAAAAATGTATATGGTACCCAGAAGCCCCGGGGGGCGAGCGAGGGTCCTGGTGGCCCCGGGCGGTGGACTCTGACTGGGACCGCGAGGGTGCGGCGTACAAAAAGATCTTGCCCCCCATCCGACAGCACGCACACCCCGAGAAACCTGAAGGTCGCACAACCAGGCGTGGGGTGCTGCAGCTGCCCGCTCGTGCGACCCTGCCCGCCGGGGAACGGCGCCGACCCTCCCATAGGGGAGAGGCCAGCGCCGCTCCTGTGAAGGGGCCCCAGGACACACAAATAAATACACACAAATAAAACTATTCCCCATATTTTCCTATATTTTCTGTGTTTTTGTCTTCCCCCCACCTCCCATATTTTCCAATATTTTCCTGGGAATCGACGATTAATTGTGTCTGTGTGTTTTTTCCTCCCCTGATCCTGGCAGAGGAGAGGGCGGCCCCTCTCGGGGCAAGAACGCCCGGGGGCCCCGGCGGCGAGGAGGAGAGAGCGGCGGCGGGCCCCCCGGGCCACGCGGTGGGCGGGGGCGCCGGCGGGGGCGCTGCGGAACCTGCGCGGCCAGCCGGCGGAGCCTCCGATTCCGTGCCCCGGCCCTCGGGGAGCGACACATGATGGCAGCTCCGACTCTCTGGGGCCCGCGCGAACCTGTGGGACCGGCGCTGGAGCCCCCTGGCGGCGCCCGTGGCGCCGCCCTTGGCGCGCGCCGCTCCCGCTCTCGGCCACACGCAGGGGTGACCCTCAGTAAGAGCGACCTTTGGTGCGCGGCTTTTGGGGGGGCCGAGGGGGACCAAACTTCAGCAGGGATCGCGCGTCCCGGCGTTCCTATAGTCCTACCACGAAATGTTCTTAGAACCCAACAGGAGTGTTCTAATAACAAACACAATGTTCTTAGAACATAAACCCGATGCGATAACACAAGACGGACTCCGTCAGAACTGTTCTGAGCACATTTCGTGGAAACCACAAGGGGTTATTAGAAAATTGTTTGGTAGGGCTACAGGCCAGCCAGGACGCTTCGCCACTGCTTGACAAACACAAGTACGCCAGGCGCTACTATCGCATCGAGGGAATTTGGCGCAGGGAGATCCGTCTAGCCCTTCGGGTGCTGCACTGCCTGCTGGAGCCCAGGCCGGGGCACTGGCTGCGCGCGTTGGCACGCTGGGCCTCCGCACGTACGTGGACGACAGGACCATGCTTGCGAGGCGGGGATTTATCCATATCCACCGCCTGGGAACCGACGTCCTGGTGCCCCAGCGGGCGGTGGATATGGATATCTTTCGGCCCCCAGGGGTCCGAATATGGCCATATCCACCGCCTACCGAGGCTCCGAAAACTGGCCCTCCAGGCGGTGGATATGGATAAATTCCCACCTCGGAATGCTCGGCCAATCGGAGGACAAAATCCGGTTGGGCGTGGACTACCTCCAACGCCTCGACAACCTCTCCGGCCAGCTGGAGGCGGATGACAAACCGAGCATGCTGCCCTGAACCTTCCTGACCCCCAGAGAGACTACCCGACCTTCATCGACGTCCTTGGCATCTCCGTCGACTTGTCTGGCGAGCAGGAACCGCGGCTCGGCAAGCGGCCCTGGCGCAGGCGGTAGGAGCTCTTCGACCGGCTCCGGCGCGCGGGCAAGATCAGCACCGCCGCCGACCTCGACCAGGCCAGGCGCAGGCGCCTCCTTCACGGCAGCATGGCCTTGCACCGTTGGGGCGCTGCGTGGGCGGACACCGGCTATTACAAGCTGCGCACCTTGGTGGAGCTCACGCTTGTCGGCAGGAAGACAGTGGCTGCGTGGAGACGCGGAGGCGCTGCCTGGGCGATCATGGACAAGGGTCACGGCCTGGAACCCCGTTCGATTCAATGCCAGGCTATCTTGGCTGCCTTGAGAGCGGCCTCCAGGGACGCTGCCACCAGAATCCACATTTCCGGGACTTGGAACAATCTGCACATCCACGACATCACGTGGGCTCCTCATTTCGTGTCTCGTGCCCAACGGGTGCTTGGCGAGATGTACATCCTGACAGATTCCCCATTCGTGTTCGAGATGGGCGGTGAGACTCTGGATATCGGAGAAGACACCAAAGCCAAGGTCGACCATTTCCACCGCAAGGCTTGGCGGAGGTGGGTCTTCCGACTTTTCGAGAACAGGACGCAGCGGCACGCTCGCACGGACCTCGTAGACATCGACACCAAGACCCTGCTGATGTTCCAAAAGCGGTGCACTGGCAAGCCTGACTGGGCTTCGGCGCGGCGCTGCTGCGTCGCTGGGGAACCCAGCCACGACCAGCTCAGCCACCCCCGCCAGGATACGCCGCGCCTCTGCGAGGTGTGCCCGGTCCGGAGCACCACCGAGCGCCACCTGTGGCGCTGCCCGGCAACCAGGCACGCCCGCGAGGCCATGCGCCCTCCGCCGGCGATCTGCGGGCACCGCGGCCTAACGGCCGACGACATGCTTATGAACCACGGTTGGCACAGCGCCGCCAAGCCGTGTTTGCGGGTAGCTGCCCTGGCTTGCTTGGCGCACAAGCACGAGGTGTACATGGAGACTGCCTGCTTCTGGTCGACGTTATGCGCCGGTGATCCGCTCCAGCATCAGTGACTCCCAGGGCCCGGCAGGGTACTGCAACCCATTCGCTCTCCATGGATCGAGGGCAACGGCATCCTGTTCCAGGCACAGATTGGGGGTGGTGCAAGCAAGCTCTTCACGCCAAGGCTCCCATGAGCTCACAGTGGCGTGAGAAGCTCTGAACACCAAGGCTCCAAAGAGCCCATAGTGACGTGACAAGCTCTTCACACCAAAGCTCCCACCAAGGCTCCGAAGAGCGAACGGTGACGTAAAGCTCTGAACACCAAGGCTCCCAAGAGCCCACAACGACATGATAAGCTCTTATCACCATGGCTCCCAACAGCGAGCGGTGACGAAAAAGCTCTGACCGCCAAGGCTCCCAAGAGCTCACAATGTCGTGACAAACTCTTCACACAGAGACTCCCAAGGGCGAGCGATAACGCAGAAAACTTTTCACAACAAGACCCCGAATAACCAACGGTGCCATGAACCATCCCAAGCAAGTTCCCGAAGCGCTCTTTCCGTTCCCGTGCCAGAGCCTGCTGGCAGGTTGAAGGGCAGAGGTCTACAGTCTGTAACACGTCAACTGGCGATTTCGCTAGGGACATCCTCAAACAACTGAGATGTCTTGGGATCGCAATTGGAAGACCTCAAGACGCCCTAACATGGCCCAACACTATGGCCCCAAGTGGCCCAAGATGACTTCAAGGTTGTCTCCAAGAGGGCCCAAGACGGTCCAAGATAACCTCCAAGATGACTCCAGAGACCCAAGAGGCACCTTGACAGTCCAAGAGCGCTCCAAGACGGCCCAAGAGGGCTTCAAGACGGCCCTCAAGACTTGAAGAACCCCCAAGAGGGCTCCAAGAGGATCCCCGAGGTGACCTCAAGGGGCACGAATCAAAGATCGCCTGTAGGCTTCTGAGCGTTCTCGCATGCTCAAGCTTCGGACTGGCCAGGAAGGCTCAACATGCCGCCAAGATCGTTCCAAGATGGCCCAAGAGGCTCCCAAAAGGGCCCCAAAACGGCCCAAGAAGGCCCGAAGACGGTCCAAGAATTCACCAAGTCCAAACATGGGTTCTGCATACTCTCTGTCTCTCTCTCTCTCTCTCTCTCTCTCTCTCTCTGACAGCTCCGAGCACACATACACGCGCGGTCCAAGTTGGGAAAATGCCACGTTCGGATAGCGGGCTGTCCAAACGAGGGAAACACATAGTTCTGGAAAGCGGGAGGTCCAAGCGGGGATAACATTAGATTCGGACAGTGGACGGTCCAACCGATCCAAGAGCGCCCTCGAGACTGCCGAAAATGGCGGTTCTGCGAGGGACATTCGTAACCAAATGATCAACATGTCTAAAAGGATGTTTCTAACATCGACTTTAAATCTCTCTTGAAGGGTCTCAAGGCGGCTCAAGAGGGCGCGAAGATAGCCCCCCGAGTCTCCCAAGAGTGCCGCAAGACCCCCAAGGATGCGACAAGGGCGAGGGGAAGAAAGGACGTAAGAACAGGAAGAATGGACAAGCCATCTATCGCGCGCCATCACAAAGTAAGTTGCGCTTTCCGTCACCGTGCCATTCCGGTTGAGGAACACCAGGCCCCAGGCCTTCAGACAAAAACGAGGGAGTAACACGCTGACGGGCTACCAACGGCAGCGTGTCGTTGATACTCTTTCAGGAGGCGTAGTGCGAACCCTACTCCTACCAACCATCGATTATCCTGAATCGATGGTAGGCGGGGGTGGGATTCGGATTTCGCCACGTGCTCGGCGAAGTCCGAACCCTACCCCGCCGCACATCGAGCCGCCGATCCTTCTCCTTCCCGAACTCCTGAACGCTCTGGGACGGTTGCCCCGCATCCACCCCAAGGGCCACCTGCACCCGCCCCCTGCCCCCGCCAGACCTGCGAAGGCCACCCGGATGAGGACCGAGCGGACGGGGCAAAGAGGGTCGCACCGCATCGCCGATGCATCGGCGATGCTGACGGGGCCCAGGGACACACAAATAGATAGATACAAATTCATGCCAGGATTCCACCCATTTTCGATGTTTTCTGGATGTTCGTTTTCCCTCCCACTTCCCATATGATCCGTCTTTCCTTGGAATCGGCTTTGGTTGTGTCTGTGTGTACCTTTCCCTCCTGAGATGCGTCGGTGATGCACCAGCGACATCGGGACTGAGAAACTCGGGCTCGCCGATGCATCGGCGACGCGGCGCGACCCTCCATCTGCCCTGGCCTCCCCTGGGCGGCCTCCATTGGGAAGTCCCTGGAGGCCCCCGGACGTCTCCAAAGGCCTCCCGCGAGGCCCCCCAGGTTTTTTTGGTCCGTCCTACAAACACACACTTCATCAGCCAGCTCTGGTTTCTGAAGCGTGCTCTGAGCAGTTCCTGTGTGCACAGCTCTCCGTGGGTCTCGGGCTTCCCACGGTTTGGAATGTCTGCGAGTGGCCACAGAGGCACGAAACGGAAAACGTTCGAGGGCGCTCCAAGCAGTAGACGGGGGACGCGCAGACCGGGTTCGCCAGAAGAGGCCCCGCGCGATCCCGGGAAGCACGGCGTCCACAGCGCCCCCGAGCCCCGGACGCGGCCCCCTCGTCGGGGAACTTCGTGCCCAGCTCGTCCTCGCGAGCGCCACGGTGCGTCCCGCCGACCCTCCCCCCCCGAGTCTC